GGTACATCAGAAAAGGGAGTCAGATCACACGTCAATGTAAAGTGTTTGGAGAAAACGCTACAAAAGAAACAACCTCTTCTGGACTGAGAGAGACAAAATAAACCTAATAGGGAAAGAAAGAGATGGTGTGCATGTGGGTATGTGGGTAGGGATTGGGTTAGGGGTAGGTAGATGGGAGAGAAAACTTGAGCATTTTAGTGCTAGTAGAGAAAACCCACAGGAGAAAATAAGAAATCTAATACAAAAGAGAGTTCCTGCCTCTCCACATTACTTAAAGGAGAGCACCTAAGTTCAGCTCTAGTGATGAGTTAGTAAGCATTTCCAAGCTTCTATTTCCATGGCAAAATGAGATTCCTAGGCCTACCATGAGGGATTAAATGTAACATATAAAGAACTCAGTGTAATGTCTGAAATATAGGCGTCCCTATCACCATCATGTTCATATTCTTCCTACTATTACTCGCCACTCAGTAAATCAAATAATGCGAAGTGGGTGTGAAAAGAGAAGAGGTGGGGGGTCACTGTGCAGCATGAGAATCAGTGACATGCACTTCAATTCATGACAAAGATAACTCTGACTTTTCATTCTTCACCAGCAACACATTGCATTTGGTCTCTAACACCAAAACGGAAGTGATTCCACCTCTGATTGAGAACAGGCAGTCCTGGTCAACTTGTAAGCCTTTCTTCACTGGCATGAACTACTGTGCCACAGGGGCTTACTCCAATGCCAGCTCCACAGAGTCTGCCTCCTACTACCCACTAACAGGGGACACCAGGTGAGATATGCTCAGTGCCTACCCAACATCTGTCTACCTTCCACAGTATGACCACCTGGCAGGACAAATAGAAAAAAAAAATGCTATGGGTTGCTGGTCTGTGTTGCCAACCTTAAGAGCTTGCACCATCTTTTGAGAACTTAAAGCAATGGTCTTCTGGTCAACATTTTCGGAATCCACTTGATCCTCTTCATGCACTAGATGAGATCATAGCACATTCCAACTTGCTAATTCGTTTTCTGAGTTTCTAAGACTCCATATCCAGTTTTACTTGTCTTGATTACATTACTGACACCTGACACAAGTAACTAACTGATTTGCTTATTACCACAAGCCCCCTACTAGAAAATAGACACCCCAATTCCAAGAGCAGTGCCCCACAGAGAAAAAGCCATCAGTAAATACTTTCAAAGTAAGTGAATATCTGGATATCGCAGTTAAAAATGGAAGGGAAAACCCTAACCATGTCCTTGTTTAAGACCTATTGGTATGAATTTCATGGCACTGACCAATGTGCTCAAGACCTGTGCCATTCTTCAGGGCTCACAGTTACACCCATCCCCATCCCCACTGCTTGTTCTCAGCATGACTGACACAACAAGCCAACTCCTCCCAACTCATCCAGAGGCCCTGAGCATCCTGGAAGCATCCCTTGCCTGCGGTTCTTGGAAAGACAAAATGGGCTGGTACATATCATTACTAGCTAAAAGTTTAAAATTAGGAGTGTATTTTTGTGGCATGTATTCTTGGGGTGGGTATTACCATCTCTAAAAGTTCTAACAGTATGTATTCTGGATGTGGGTGTGCTGTGACATCTTAGGTATGAGCTGGAGCTGAAGCCTACAGGGGAGGTAGAGCAGTACTCTGCCAGTGCAACCTATGAGCTCCAGAAAGAGGACAGGTCCTTGGTGGACACACTGAAGTTCCTAGTTCAAGCAGAAGGCAAGTATTCAAAAAGGCTGCTCCATATCTACCTGTCTTGGGTTCAGGACTCACAGAATACCTTTATGATAATATATTAACAAATATTTCCTGAGTTCCTACAGGTGTCAGACCTATCTTGGAGATGAGGCTAGAACACTGAACAATGAAAATGAAGTCTTTGCCTTTATAGAAGTTATAGTAAACAAACAAACAAGTAAATATTCAGGATGCTAGACCAGCGGTGAGGAGAGAAAACACAGTATAGATGGTTTAAGGATTGCTATAAGTGGTTGGGAAAAGAGGAGGTTGTGGAGACACTAAAATGGGAATGACAAAAGAAATTGTCTCTGGTAAAGTGAAAGAAAGAGACATGGGGTGGGGAGAAGATAAGCCACAGGGGAAAGAGTCATAGGCTAAGAGACTAGCATTGCAAAGACCCTGAGGCTGGAGCCTGAGGCTGGAGCATGTGGAGAAAAGACAGGAGAGAAACTAGCATGTAGGCGAGTTTAGCCAACCAGCCACGAAATGGAGGTGCTTGGATTAGAGTTCTAATCAAAACAATATTCCGGATATTAGAGCAGTGGTAAGGAGAGAAAGCAGTAGAGATGGGTCTAGAGTATGTAGTCGGGGGTTGGGGAGGCATAAAAATAGGAATGATAAGTGACAGAGGAGGTAGGAGAAGTAGCTATATTCTTCCTATAGTTTGAAGAATTAGTGCTGTGTTCCCTGAACAGCTAAGCATCCCCAACCTCAGAGCCTGTTCCTGTCCAAACTTTTGCCTGGATGCTCCTCCCAAAACTCATCATGACTCAGCCCATCCCTTCACTGTGGTCCTGCCCTCATATCCCTTTAGCAGAGAGAAGTTTCTGGCCATCGTATAGGAAATAGCCCCTCTTCTGTCCCTCTGTCTCTTATTCTCATATCCAGTTTGACTTGTCTTCATGACATTACTGACATCTGACACAAGTAACTAACTGATTTGCTTATTACCGAAAGGCCCTACTAGAAGATAGATACCCCAATTCCAAGAGCAGTGCCCCACAGAGAAAAAGCCATCAGCAAATACTTTCAAAGTAAGTGAATATCTGGATATCACTGAGTTAAAAATGGAAGGAAAAACCCTAACCATGTCCTTGTTTAATCACATTGAGTAGCGTTCACAGCCTTCTTCTCTGCTTCCTTTTTCTGAACATAGCTTCTTGGCATGTTTCTTGACTCTCATACACTTTCAGGTGTGAAGCAGACCGAGGCTACTATGATGTTCAAATATAATCGGCGGACCAGGACTTTATCCAGTGAAGTCCTAATTCCAGATTTTGACATTGACTTCGGGACAATCCTCAGAGTTAATGATGAATCTGCTAAAGACAAAAAGTCTTACAAACTCATCCTGGACATTCAGAACAAAAAAATCACTGAAGTTGCTCTCGTGGGCCATGTGAGGTAAGGAAGGTTTGGGTGACCCAACAGAGCTGGAGACCCTTGTGGCTCTTGCCTTCTTCCTCAAACTTTAGATGTGACCAAATCAAGGACATCTCTGCTCTACAGCCCATGTGGCAACTCCAACTCTCAACATTTTTACTCTTTGTATGCACTGAGAACTTTCTATCATTCATCAGGCACTTTGCTATCCATTTATCAAGTACTTTGGGGGCACATTAAAAAATTATCTCAGTCCTGCTTCTCTGCTTTATAGACAAGGAAATGGTAGCTCAGGGTGGTTTAAACGCTTGGCCGAGGCTGGAGAGAAGAGTGAAAACAGTTAATACAAAACTGGCATGCCCACCTACACCTCCCTGTAAAGTACTGACTCTTTATTGAAGATTGGCTTTATAAGTTAATGAGCTTGGTCTATGTTAGTCAGATATTTGATCTGTTCTTGTGTCTTGCTTGTATCACTGAAAATGAGTTTAACTATTTAATCTGTGCATCTCCTTGGAATGGACAAAATCATTCATGCCAACTGATTTTTTTCAATAGTTATGACAAAAAGGGAGATGGCAAGATCAAAGGTGTTATTTCCATACCTCGTTTGCAAGCAGAAGCCAGGAGTGAGATCCACACCCACTGGTCCCCCACTAAACTGCTCCTCCAAATGGACTCATCTGCCACAGCTTATGGCTCAACAATTTCCAAGAGAGTGGTGTGGCGTTATGGTACGTGCCTCTTGCCCCATGTGCGCCCTTCCAGGAAACTGTGTACTTTGTACACATTGGGAGTCATAGCTACATGCTGACTTAATATACCACTGACAGTCATGTCGCATGTGTGTTTTCAGATGACGATAAGATTGAATTTGACTGGAACGCAGGCACCAATGTGGATACCAAAAAAGTGGCCTCCAACTTCCCTGTGGATCTCTCCATTTACCCCCGAGCTTTGCACAAGTATGCAGATAGCCTCCTGGATCACAGAGTCCCTCAAACAGACATGACTTTCCGCCACATGGGTTCCAGATTAATTGTTGTAAGTATAAGTCAGATGAACAAATACATGACTGTAAATCTAATTGCATCCTCAACTGGGTTAGGCACAGGAGATTATCCAAAGGTGCGTAAACAAAACATGAATGCCTGGTTGCCCAGTCACATGAAGCTATATGTGACAAATACTCAATGGATGCCACCAAGCAGAAGAGTTTGATGCCCCTACCCATGTCAAAAGAAGTTTTAGGACACTGCCTGGGTGTCTAACTACATTATACATTGTTTTCTTAAAACACAGAAAGAGGGCTAAGAGTGAAAGGTGGCTCAGTCAGTAAATACTTGATTGCACAAGCGTGAGGACCTAAGTTTGATCCTTAGCACCCATGTAAAACCCAGTTGTAGTGAAAGCACTTACAATCCCAGTACTAAGGAGTCAGAGACAGGGTGATCCCTGGGACTCACTGACCAGTCCGCCTAGCCAAATTGATGAGCCCTGGATCCCAGTGAGAGATTCTATCTCAAAAAATAAGGTAGACAGACAGTGCCTGAAGAATAATGACTCGAGGATGTCCTTTGGCCTACACACACATATGCAAACACATGCACACATCCCCACATGGAAACACAGCTATGCATGCATACACACAAAATCAGTGAATAAAAATGAAAAGAAAATAAAGAGAGAGATCAGTGACTGGAAGTTCATAAACTTCTTTAACTTAGTTTTAACTTTCAGTGCATCACCCTGCTTGATAATTGATCTGACAAACAGGACAGTCAGCTCATATTACTTGAACTTGAACTTGGTTGCCCATCCAGACCCATTTCTTGCTTTGAAAATCTATCATTTTTTAGGCAACAAACACATGGCTTCAAATGGCATCCAGGGGTCTTCCTTATGCCGAGACTCTACAAGATCACCTCCAAAATATGGGATTGCCTGACTTCTACATCCCAGACAAACTCTTCTTAAAAAGGTAAGAGAGGAAACTAGAGTGTTCTCTTTGAATTGTGCAATGAAAAGAGAAAATTTACCTAGCATGATTTAGACTTTTTCAGTTTAAAATTTTAAGAGAAAGAACTTAAGCACTTTAGGACAATGAACAGCCACAGCATAAACACTGGCATTTCTACATAATTAAACATGAGGTCCTATATATGAGCACCAACCCAATCAGGAAGAACCTAAGAAAATAAATGGAAGATTCTGGAAATTCCCCCTTTGATATTATATGCACTCAAACCTGAGTTTGAGAGGCATTCAGCTTTCATTATAAGTGAACACCCCTATATTTAGACCTCAATATATTCAGACTTTGTGAAGTCTTCAACATGTACCTGGAAGGATTATGGACCACAGGTTTGCTGTTGAACTGTGAAGGGTCAAAACAGTCACTGGGCATTAGATGAAGACAGCATTCCAAGAGATACTAAGTTTAGCAAGGCAGCTTAATCCTAACACTAAAGTTAGAGTCGCAGTGCTCACTCCATTTCTATGTTTGCAACTGTATACATAATATTTTAATTGCTTTATTTCATGTAAAAAGTCAGAGCATGAACTGAAAAGACCATTTTTTCTAAGTTGACATACTCACAGTCCAAAAACTAAGTAGTCTGTGTCATGTGGCCCCCTTCATAGCCTGTGGCTGAGAAGCACAATTTAACAGACCAGATTCCTATGAGAAGACTGAAGTCTGTCCAAGCCCCAGGTTACTAAAGATAAAAGGGTAAATGCAGGAACTTTCCTTCTTCACTACTAGAATTTCAACATGTCAGAACTAAACAGGGTCTTAGTGGTTATTTTTCTACTATCTGCTGAATGTGGGGACCTGGACAATCGTCCATCCCACTTTACAGTAGCACAACTAATAGTTTATTCACATTTAAGAGTTAGGCACCACCAACTTTACAACTTTGTTTTTATATGTTATCACAATAATCCATTGAATTGGACTCTTATTGAAAAGATTACAAAGCAGCTTCTCACTTGAAATCCAAGGGACTATTATCTTCATTGTGCAGAGAACAACTGAGACAGGTGAATTCTAAGACAACATTATCTGGAATCTGAAGCTGTCATCCAACTTTACTGACTCTAACACCTGTGTTCTTTTCACATATCAAGTTGATTCAGTAGCAAATACATATCAGTTGTCCACTGTGTACAAAATTCTTGAGTAGAAGAATTAAGAAGATAGAAGCTGGGTGAGGTATTGGCCTTTCTGAAGGAAGACACCAGGCAGACACCAGCAAGTGAACAAATAACTAACTGTGTTAGCAGAATTAGGGCATGTTCTTTGAGATAGGGATAAGGGATGGTAGTAACATAGAGGGCACTCCTGGAGGGGTTTTGAAAGAGTTCGGGAGGTAGAAGAGAAAGGAATGAGATTTAGGCCCAGGGAGTAGTATGATGAAAGGAACAGTGTGGACATGAGAAAGGGAAGGTGCAATATTATTGGTGATGTCTGACTGTGGAGACATTGTCTTTGCTCATTTCAGTGATGGCCGGGTCAAATACACCTTGAACAAGAACAGTGTGAAAATTGACGTTCCTTTGCCTTTTGGTGGCAAATCATCTAAAGATCTAAAGATGCTCGAGAGTATTAAGACACCAGCCCTCAGCCTCAAGTCTGTGGAATTCTACCTGCCATCTCAAGAGTTTCAAGTCCCCACTTTTACAATCCCCAAGACATATCAACTTCGAGTGCCTCTCTTGGGTATTCTGGACCTTTCCACAAATGTCTACAGCAACTTGTACAACTGGTCGGCCTCCTATACTGGTGGCAACACCAGCAGAGACCACTTCACCCTTCAGGCTCAGTATCACATGAAGGCCGATTCAGTGGTTGACCTGCTTTCCTACAGCATGCAAGGTAAGACCTCAGGATAAAGGGTGCAGAGAGCAAATTCACTGCACACTCTGACAGGAGAGCCTCTAGGGAGAAAAGGACCTGATGCTTTTCCACCAGATACTTTCCTTGCTACTTGTAAGTCTCCTTCATTCATTCAGCGAATGAAAATATTTATTAAGCATACAGTAAGTATTGACCACTCTGGTAGGCAATAACAAAAATAGCCATCAGGTTACCTGATTATTATTATTCAGTTTGAGAAGTGCTGTGACACGGTGTAAAGTATAAGCTGCGGTGGGGGCATCAGATAAGGGAACCCAACAAGGTCTACAGTGAGCAAGGAAGGTTTCCTAGAGGAATGCCTTTTAATACTATATTTCATATGTACATTATAAATTAGAAAAATACTGTACAATTGATTTTTACATATGAGGCTGTATTGTTGAATGAATTTCAGCACGTACACTATTCTAGACAGTTACTGCTTAATTTAACCAATGTCTTTAATTTTTCTGTTAGGATCCGGAGAAACAACATATGACCACAGGAATACGTTCACATTATCATGTGATGGGTCTCTACACCACAAATTCCTTGATTCGAAATTCAAAGTCAGTCATGTAGAAAAAGTTGGGAACAACCCAGTCTCAAAAGGTTTATTAACATTTGAAGCATCTAGTGCCTTGGGACCACAGATGTCTGCTACAGTTCATGTAGACTCCAAAAAGAAACAGCATCTGTATGTCAAAGAAATCAAGGTTGACGGGAAGTTCAGAGCATCTTCATTTTATGCTCAAGGCAAATATGGCCTGTCTTATCAAAGGGATCCTACCACTGACCAGCTGAGTGGGGAGTCCAACCTGAGGTTTAACTCAACCTACCTCCAGGTTACTAACCAGATAGTGGGAATATACCAAGATGGAACCCTCTCCATCACCTCCACCTCTGATCTGCAAGACGGCATTTTCAAAAATACTGCTTCCCTGAAATACGAGAACTATGAACTGACTCTGAAGTCTGACAGCAATGGGCAGTATGAGAACTTTGCTACTTCTAACAAGGTAGACATGACCTTCTCTAAGCAAAGTGCCTTGCTCCGTTCTGAGTATCAGGCTGATTACAAGTCCTTTAGGCTCTTCACCCTACTTTCTGGCTCACTCACTTCTCAGGGTGTTGAATTAAATGCTGAACTCTTGGGCACTGACAAAATTAATACTGGTGCTCACAAGGCAACTCTAAGGATTGCACGAGATGGAATATCTACCAGTGCAACAACCAACTTGAAATACAGCCCCCTGTTGCTAGAGAATGGGCTGAACGCAGAGCTTGGCCTCTCTGGGGCAAACATGAAATTATCAACCAATGGCCGCTTCAGGGAACACCATGCAAAATTCAGCCTAGATGGAAAAGCTGCCCTCACAGAGGTATCATTGGGAAGCGTTTACCAGGCCATGATTCTGGGTGTTGACAGCAAAAACATTTTCAACTTCAAAGTCAGCCGAGAAGGGCTGAAACTTTCCAACGACATGATGGGTTCCTATGCCGAAATGAAACTCGACCATACAAACAGCCTAAGCATTGCAGGTCTATCACTGGACTTCTCCTCCAAACTTGACAATATTTACAGCTCTGACAAGTTCTACAAGCAGAATTTTAACTTACAGCTCCAGCCGTATTCTCTGGTAACTACTTTAAGCAATGACCTGAAATTCGGTGCTCTAGACTTCACCAACAGTGGGAAATTACGACTGGAACCCTTGAAGCTGAATGTAGGTGGCAACCTAAAAGGAACCTACCAAAGTAATGAGATAAAGCACATCTACACCATTTCTTATACTGACTTATTACTAGCAAGTTACAGAGCAGACACTGTAGCTAAGGTTCAGGGTGCAGAGTTCAGCCATCGGCTCAAAGCAGACGTTGAAGGGCTGGCTTCCTCCATTGACATTATCACAAACTATAATTCAGACCCACTGCATTTTAACAATGTTTTCCACTTTGTTTTGGCCCCATTTGTGTTGGGCATTGACACACATACAAGTGGCGATGGGAAACTGACTCTCTGGGGAGAACACACTGGGCAGCTATACAGTAAATTTCTGTTAAAAGTAGAACCTCTGGCTCTTACTTTCTCTCATGACTACAAAGGATCCACAAGTCACAATCTCCTGCCCGGGAGCAGCATCACTGCAGCTCTTGATCACAAAGTCAGTGCCCTGCTCACTCCAGCTGAGCAGACAAGCACCTGGAAATTCAAGACCAGACTGAATGACAAGGAGTACAGCCAGGACTTTGAAGCCTACAACACTAAAGACAAAATCGGTGTAGAGCTTAGCGGGCAAGCCCTGGCTGGCTTCTCTGGGCTCTACTTTCCAATTAAAGTGCCATTTCTCCTCAGTGAGCCCGTTGATGTCCATAATGCCTTAGAGATGAATGATGCTGTTGACAAGCCCCAAGAATTCACAATTGTTGCTTTTGTGAAGTATGATAAGAACCAGGATGTTCACACCATCAGCCTCCCATTCTTTAAAACCCTGCCAGACTATTTGGAGAGAAATCGAAGAGTAATTATAACTCTATTGGAAACCATACAGGGAGAATTGCGACGCATTGATATTGATCAATTTGTGAGGAAATACAGAGCAGCCCTGGGAAGGCTCCCACAGCAAGTTAATGATTATCTGAATGCAGTCAATTGGGAGAGACAAGTTGCCAGTGCCAAGAAAAAACTAGCTGCTTTCACAGAAAATTATAGAATTACAGAAAATGATGTACAAATTGTATTAGATAATGCCAAAATCAACTTCAATGAAAAACTCTCTCAACTCCAGTCGTACATGATACAATTTGATCAGTATATTAAAAATAATTATGATCTACGTGATTTAAAAATAACTATTGCTAAAATTATTGATCGAATCATTGAAAAATTAAAAATTCTTGATGAACATTATCATATCCGTGTAAATCTAGCAAAATCAATCCATAATCTGTATTTATTTGTTGAAAATATTGATCTTAACAAAATTAGAAGCAGTGTAGCATCTTGGATTCAAAATGTGGATACTAAATATCAAATCAGAATCCAGTTACAAGAAAAATTGCAGCACCTCAGGACACAGATTCAGAATGCAGATCTCCAGGAGCTTGCCACAGAGTTAAAACAACAGGTTAAAGCTATTGATGTCACAAAGCTTTTAGATCAATTGAGAACTGCAATTCTATTCCAAAGAATAAATGACCTTATTGAGCATGTCAAATACTTTGTTATGAATCTTATTGAAGATTTTAGAGTAACTGAGAAAATCAATGTTGTTAGAGCTATAGTCCATGAGTTAATTGAGAAATATGAAGTAGACCAACAAATCCAGGTTTTAATGGATAAATCAGTAGAGTTGGCCTACCAGTACAAGCTGAAAGAGACTGTTCAGAAACTAAGCAATGCTCTACAACAAGTTGAGATAAAAGTTTACTATAGGAAATTGGTTGGATTTATTGATGATGCTGTTGAACAGCTCAAAGCATTGTCTTTTAAAAAATTAATTGAAGAACTAAACAGATTTCTTGACGTGTTGGTGAAGAAATTAAAAGCATTTGATTATCACCAGTTTGTAGATGAAACCAACAACAAAATACATGAGATGACTCAGAGAATCAATGGTCAAATTCAAGCTCTTGAACTACCACAAAAAGCTGAAGCACTAAAACTGTTGGTAGAGGATTTCAAGGCCGTGATCTCCAACTATCTGGAAAGGCTCAAGGATACCAAAGTAACTATGTTCATTGATTGGTTGCAGGGTGCTTTGGTTTACATAAAAGCCCATTTTCAAGACACTCTAGAAGATATACGAGACAGAATTTATCAAATGGACATTCAATGGGAACTTGAGCGATATCTGTCTCTGGTAAGCCAAGTTTACAGTACACTGGTCACCTATATTTCTGACTGGTGGACTCTTGCATCTAAGAACCTTACTGACTTTGCAGAGCAATATTCTATCCAAAACTGGGCTGAAAGTGTGAAGGCTTTGGTGGAACAAGGATTCACCGTTCCTGAAATCCGGACCTTTCTTGGAAACATGCCTACCTTTGAGGTCAGTCTCCATGCTCTCCAAGAAGCTACCTTCCAGACTCCTGACTTTATAGTCCCCCTGACAGATTTGAGGATTCCATCAATTCAGATAAACTTCAAAATGTTGAAGTATGTAAAAATTCCATCCAGGTTTTCCACGCCAGAATTTACTATCCTCAACACCTTCCATGTCCCTTCCTTTACAATTGACTTGGTAGAAATAAAAGCAAAGGTTATCCGAACCATTGACCAAATGCTGAGCAGTGAGCTGCAGTGGTCTATTCCAGAAGTACACCTGAGGGACCTGAAGATGTGGGACATCCCTCTTACTAGATTCACTCTCCCAGACTTCCATGTACCAGAAATCACAGTTCCAGAATTCACAATCCCAAATGTCAACCTTCAAGATTTTCAAGTTCCTGACCTTCACATACCAGAATTCCAGCTTCCCCACATCTCAGACACAATTGAAATACCTGCTTTTGGCAAACTACATAGTATTTTGAAAATCCAGTCTCCCCTCTTTACATTAGATGCAAATGCCAACATACAGAATGTGACTACTTCAGCGAACAAAGCAGAGATCACAGCTTCAATCGCTGCCAAAGGAGAGTCCAGATTAGAAGCTCTCAATTTTGATTTTCAAGCACAAGCACAGCTTTTAGAGCTACATGCTAATCCACTAGTCCTGAAGGAATCCATGAACCTCTCCAGTAAGTATGTGAGAATGCAGCATGCAAGTGAAGTGCTATTTTCTGGAAATATCATTGAAGGAAAATCAGGCATGGTTGCAAGTTTACACACTGAAAAAAACATAGTGGAGTTTAATAATGATGTGATTGTCAAGATAAACAATCAACTTACCCTGGACAGTCACACCAAATACTTTCACAAGTTGAGTGTGCCTAAGCTGGACTTCTCCAGTAAGGCTTCCCTAAACAATGAAATCAAGGCATTATTAGAAGCTGGACACATGGCATGGACTTCTACTGGAACCGGGTCATGGAGCTGGGCCTGTCCTAGCTTCTCGGATGAGGGAACACATTCATCACAAATTAGCTTCACTGTGGAAGGGCCCATCTCTTCTTTTGGATTGTCCAATAATGTCAATAGCAAACACTTAAGAGTCCTTCAAAAGCTGGCTTATGAATCTGGCTTCCTCAACTATTCTAAGTTCGAGGTTGAGTCAAAAGTTGAATCTCAGCATGTGGGCTCCAGCATTCTAAGTGCTAAGGGCACAGCACTGCTCAGAGAATGGAAGGCAGAAATAACTGGTGAGCACAATGCTAACTTGAATGGAAAAGTTATTGGAACTTTGAAAAATTCTCTTTTCTTTTCAACACAGCCATTTGAGATTACTACATCAACAAATAATGAAGGGAATTTGAGAGTTAGTTTTCCATTAAAGTTGACTGGGAAGATAGACTTTCTGAGTAACCATGCTCTGTTTCTGGGTCCTCATGCCCAGCAAGCAAGCTGGCAAGCAAGTGCTAGATTCAATCAATACAAATACAATCAGAATTTCTCTGCTTTAAACAATGAGAACAGCATGCAAGCCCATGTGGTAATGAATGGAGATGCCAACCTAGATTTCTTAAACATACCTTTAACCATACCTGAAATTAATCTGCCTTACACAGCACTCACAACTCCCTCACTGAAAGATTTCTCCATATGGGAAAAAACAGGCTTGAAGGAATTCTTGAAAACAACAAAGCAATCATTTGATTTAAGTGTAAAGGCTCAGTATAAGAAGAACAAAGATAAACATTCCATCACAATTCCTTTGGGCAGTTTTTATGAGTTCATCCGCTACAATGTCAATTCCTTGGACAGAAGTTTTGAAAAAGTCAGAGAAAGGACATTAGATTTTCTTACCACATCCTACAATGAAGCAAAAACTAACTTTGATAAGTACAAAATTGAAAAATCCCTCAACCAGCCCTCTGGGACCTTCCAAAGTTCTAAGGTCATCATGCCTTCATACCAGTCAGCTCTGCCCTCCCTTGAACTGCCAGTCCTTCATGTCCCTAGGAATCTACTCAAGTTTTCTCTCCCAGATTTTAAGGAATTAAACACCATTGACAAGATTTTTATTCCAGCCATGGGCAATTTTACCTATGATTTTTCTTTTAAATCAAGTGTTATCACACTGAATACCAATGCTGGACTTTATAACCAATCAGATATTGTTGCTCATTTCCTTTCTTCTTCTTCATTCGTCACGGATGCACTGCAGTACAAATTAGAGGGCACATCACGTTTGACAAGGAAACGAGGGGTGAAGTTAGCCACAGCTGTATCTCTGAGTAACAAATTTGTGGAAGGCACTCATGACAGCACCATTAGCTTAACCAAGAAAAATACGGAAGCATCAGTGAAAACAACTGCAAACCTCCGTGTTCCCGTTCTGACAATGAGCTTCAAACAGGAGCTTAATGGAAATGCCAAGTCAAAACCTATTGTCTCTTCATCCATTGAACTGAACTATGATTTCAGTTCCTCAGAGCTGAACTCTACTGCTAAAGGGGAGTTTGACCACAAGTTCAGCTTAGAAAGCCTCACTTCCTACTTTTTCATTGAGTCATCAACCAAAGGAAATGTCAAGGGTTCGATCCTTTCACAGGAATATTCAGGAAATATTGTAGGCGAGGCCAACACTTACCTGAATTCTAAGGGCACTCGGTCTACAGTGAGCCTACAGGGAGCTTCCAAAGTTGATGGTATCTGGAACCTTGAAGTAGGAGAAAATTTTGCTGGAGAAGCCAATCTCCAACGCATATATGCCATTTGGGAACATGATATGAAAAACGATTTACGACTAGAGAGCATCTTCATTACAAAAGGAGAGCAAACATCTAAAGCCACCCTGGAACTCTCCCCATGGACGATGTCAGCCCTTGTACAGGTTCATGCAAGTCAACCCAGTTCCCTCCTTGATATTCATCACTTTGGCCAGGAAGTGACCCTGAAAGCTAACACTAACAACCAGAAAGTCAGCTGGAACAGTGAAGTCCGGGTTCATTCACGAGTTCTCCAGCACAGTGTACAGTTCTCCAATGACCAAGAGGATGTACGCCTTGATATTGCAGGGTCCTTAGAAGGACAATCATGGTACCTTGAATATATCATTCTACCAGTGTATGACAAGAGCTTACAGGAACTCCTAAAGATGGATGGAAAGAAACAGTATCTTCATGCTTCAACTTCTTTGGTATACACCAAAAACCCCAATGGTTATTCCTTCCCACTCCCCGTCCAAGAACTAGCTGACAAATTCATTATCCCAGGGCTGAAACTCAGTGATCCAAATTCAGTTCTTGTCACACCTGCATTCCAAGTCCCATTTACAGATCTTCAGATTCCATCCTACCAACTTGACTTCAGTGGAATAAAAATCTATAAGGAACTAAGTACTTCACCGTTTTCCCTCAACCTACCAACACTTCCCAAAGTAAAATTCCCCAAGGTTGATGTGTTAACAAAATACTCTGAAGCAGAAGACTCCTCTCTTCCCTTTTTTGAGATAACTGTTCCTAAAGCTCAGTTAACTATGTCCCAGTTCACTCTTGCGAAAAGTTTTCCAGTTGGCAGCACTGTTTTGGATCTTAATGAAATAGCCAACAAGATTGCAGACTTTGATTTGCCTACCATCTTCCTGCCTGAGCAGACTATTGAAATCCCTTCTTTTAAGTTCTCTATACCTGCTGGGATTTTTGTTCCTGTCTTTGGAGCACTTACTGCACAATTTGGGGTGGCTTCTCCCCTATATAATGTCACTTGGAATGCTGGTTTGAAAAACAAAGAAGATCATGTTGAAACATTCCTGGATTCCACATGCAACTCAACCTTTCAGTTTCTGGAATATGATCTAAATGGTAAGGAAATGTCCTGCCTCCTCTCCTAGAGATTCTATGTTTTCAAATAAATTCTAAGTAAATAATTATGTATCTAATTAAGAACAGAGGCAAAATTTCTATCTGTAACAAAATGGTAAAAAAGAAATATATGTGTTATATATAATCCTATATAAAAAAAAAGACTGAATTCAAAGAAATTAGATTTTTCTGTAATAATTTAAAAACAAATAATATCTTCTGTTTGTTTAAAATAAGAAAATCACAGGGATTGAGGTATATATAGCTCAGTGACATGCCCAGCATGTACGAGGCCCTGTGTTTGAATCTCAGTATCACAAAAAAATTAGTTTAAAAAAATCTATAGACTGTACCTTGTATGTTTTAAACTTTTAAGTTAGAGTTTGGTTAAGATATAACTCTCCAAGTTTTCACAATAAAATATCTCTATCCCAAAGTTATTCACCCAATGAAATACAAAATCTCTCCTGTACAGTTGTGGGAACACACAAAATTAAAGATGATATGTTTATCTACACGACCAAAGGAGCACTTAAACACCGCGACTTCAATGTAGAATATAATGAAGATGGCAAATTTAAAGGACTTTGGTATGAAACTTTTAGTGACTCTTGATAGCTTTTCTTGTGTTGTTTGCCACTTCTGGATCCCCTTCCATATGACCCATCTGCTTTTCTGTTTTCAGGGTCTGGGAGGGAGAGGCTCACCTTGACATCACCAGTTCAGCACTGACTGATCTCTACCTGTACTACCAAGAGAATGAGAGAAGTCTGTCCTACTCAGCAACCTCCCCAACCATAAGCATGGGCCTGGTTTCAAGCACAGATAACAGGAGTGTGAATTTGAATGTCTACTTCCAACCCCAGGTGAGTCCCATCTTCCAAGTAGCACATGTTCAATAGCAAGCAGAGAACTAAAGAGGATGCATTTCACTCAAGACATCTCTCTCAGCTCATCCTCAGACTAGGTAAAAAGACAGGTGGTGAGCAAGCAAACTTCTTCACTGAGGACCTGTTTTCCAGATAGTATTACAATCTGTCCTTGTTGAGCTTGATTTAATTATTAGACACACCCAGGATACCCTATTAGCACTATCATTTTATGGCTTCTGGACAAATCCATAAAGATGAAAGTTATGCCTTGTCACCTAAATCATAAGCAAACTCTGCCAGATGTAGAGTATATTTTTAAATCATGGTTTCTGGGTTGTTTGAGGCTTTGTAATTCTTCCCCAGAATAAAATTGTGTGATGAGGTATATCAAATTCATTTCATGTCATGTATAAGCTCTTCCAGGATCAAATCAAAGATTCCATCACTGTAGGGGGAGACATAAACCTAAAGTTTGTCAAGTGAATGCTAAAATTGGAACTCTAGATCTGGACTTCTTCATTTTCTTTTTTCTCTACTTTTCCCCCCTGAATATGTCTTTTCCTATCTCTGTCCTCGTTCTTCCTCCTCTGCTTCCTCCTCCCCCTTCTTCAAATTTGCCATCCCAGGAAGGTCTTAATGTTAAATGCCACTGAGTAGAGATACCAAGCATACTTTTTATCCTCCCAGGAGCACGTGATAAAGAAACACTAACAACAGTGAGTTTGTTTAACCATAAAACAAACACATGAACTGACATAGGAAAGATAAATCCTTTTCGAAATATGAAAGATCCTCTGATCTTTACTTTTAACAGCTAACGAAGTTTTAGTGCCTTATATTATATAATCAGAATAATTGAAAACATGTTCTTCTCAACTGTTTGTTTGTTGTTTGTTTCGTTTCTGATTTTAGTCCTATCCAGATAAAAAACTCAGTATATTCAAAACTGAGTGGAGATACCTGAAGTCTAATGATGAAATTCAAATCAAAATTAATTGGGAGGAAGAGGCAGCTTCCAGACTGCTAGGCTCTCTAAAAGACAACGTGCCCAAGATGACAGAGGCCTTTTATGATTATATCAACAAGTACCACCAGGAGTACACAGGACTCAACCTGGGAGATGCATCTTCAAATCTAAGAAGAAGTCTACAAAACAATGTTGAGTGGGCCTATCAAGGGGCCCTGAGGCAAATTGACAAAATGGACATGGAATTCCAGCAAGCAGCCAGTGGCACCACAAGAACCTACCAGGAGTGGAAAGACAAGAGCCAGAATCTGTATGAACTGTTGGCACAGGAGGGCCAAACCAGCTCTGAAAGACTCAAGGATAAAGTGATTGACAGCCTAGTGCAAGTTACTCAGAAGTACCATGTGGCCGTCAAGCATCTGATTGACTCATTAATTGATTTCCTGAAGTTCACCAGATTCCAGCTCCCAGGAAAAACTGGGACATACACTAAAGATGAACTCTGCAGTATGCTCCTGGGGGAGACAGGGAAGGTACTATCTCAGCTATATTCAAGTGTCCATAACAGCTTAGAAAAACTGCTTTCCTATGTCCAAGACCTAGTAGAGAAATCTGACTTAATAAGTGACATAACAATTAAACTTCCTTTTCATTCAAGGAGCTACAACCTAAGAGATGTTATTCTGAGCTACAGAAAACAGCTAAATGCTTTATCACAAACAGTCCAAGAGGAACTTAATGGCCTCCAGTCTATCAAATTTACAGAGATGCTCAGTGACATTCAGCACCTTCTGGATCACATTTTAGAAGACATAGAAAAAAACATTAAAAGCTTAAAAGAGAAAGGATTTCTTTATTTCACTAATATTATCCAAAAACGGATGTACAGAGTCCAACAGGCTTTTGGATTTCTGAAAGAAGAACTGAGTCCTTACTTCACAAAGTTCGATGAATTTGTTCAAACTATCCTTCAGGAGGCTTCTTACAAGCTGCAGCAGGCCCATCAGTATATAAAGGCTCTTCGTGAAGAAAATTTTGATCCCAGCATAGTTGGCTGGACAATAAAATATTATGAACTTGAAGAAAAGATAGTCGACCTGATCAAGACTCTTATAGTTGCCCTTGGGGATCTCCATTCTGAGTATAGTGCCACAGCTCTTGGCTTTGCTTCCCAAATCTCAACTCAAGTTGAGCAATTTGTATACAGGGATATCCGAAAATGTCTTAGCATCCTTGCTGATGCAGACGGAAAGGGGAAAGAGAAGATTGCAGAGCTTTCTACAGCCGCACAGGAAATAATTAAAAGCTGGGCCACTGCAATGAAGGAGATTATTTCTGACTGCCACCAGCAGTTTAATTCCAAACTGCAGGAGTTTTTAGAACAACTCCCTGATTACTACGAAAAATTCATCCTTGGGTTCAGAAGATCGATTGACCTGTCCATTCAAAGCTACCACATGTGTCTAAGATATATCACTGATTTACTGAAAGAGCTTCAGGCAGCCACGGCCAATGATGTGAGCCCCTACGTAAAGCTTGCTCCAGGAGAACTGATTATCACCTTCTGACTTTTTGAGCAATCTTCATTTATTAATCTATTCCAATTAAATTTCAACATAGTAGGGGAAATTTTTTAAAGTACTTTAAAAAATATCTATTCAGCCAGCCCTGCAGTAGGCAGTAACTGCAAGAAGAATCTGTGAACACCACAGAAGCTGGCCTAGAAACTCAGAATCTGCCTGAACTCGAGATGATGTATTCTACAAGTTAAAGAAAATCAGGATCTGAGTTATTTTGTTAAACTTGGGGGGAGGGGAAGACAAATAAATGGATTCTTTATTGTGTATCGTACCACTCCATTTGTCTCATTTGTATTGAAAGGTATTGGAATGAGTGTATCCATTCAAATACTCTGGCATTCCCAACGTCTACAAGGACACACACTGAGATGTAAGTGATAGCATAAAGAAGTAAGGGAAAAAATATGAAGGGATATATTTTTCCACCAAAAGCAATTGATCTCAGAAACTGAATTTGCTATGTAAGTAGAAAAAGGTATACATGACAATTTTTACATAAATTTTCCTGAGGAGCATTGTATGTCTTCAAGTGCCACACAATCTTCCTCATCAATCTGTCTGTGTTTGCCAGGCAATACTTAACAGAGGGTAAGATCTGAGATAAGCCAACTAGCTTTTTATTTGACTAGGCCTACTAGTAATACAGAGGGAATTGCTAGGAGCACTAGACTCAGGGGGTTCAAAGAAATAGAGATCCCAGAAGTCTCCCTACAGTCAGGGCTCATCAAGGCACAAGAAATATGAATAAGGGGCTGGAGAGATGGCTCAGCAGTTAAGAGCACTGGCTGTTCCTGCAGAAGACCCGGGGTCAAATCCCAGCATCCACATGGCAGCTACGCACTGTAACTCCAGTTCCTGGGATTTGATAGCCTCTCTATCCTCTGTGGGCATTGTATGACCAGGTTACGCTTAAATACATGCAGGCAATGCATTCATACACATAAAAAATAAACATAATAAGTAAATAAAATATAAAAAGCAATATCAAGGGCTGGAGAGATGGCTCAGTGATTAAGAACACTGGTTGTTCTTGCAGAAGACCCAGGTTCAAATCCCAGCACCCACATGGCAGCTAACAACTGTCCGTAACTCCAGTTCCAGGGGTTCCGACAGCCTCTTCTGACCTCTGCGGGCATTGCATGACACGGGTGCACTTACCTACATGCAGGCAATACACACATACGCATAAAATAAAAATAATAAATAAAAATTTTTTTTAAAGTAATATCAATATAAGAGAAAGGGACATGGATTACTACCATTTCTGCAACCAAGCATGCGTTTACATTCTTCCAAAAACCTGTACAACACAACTTTCACTGAGAAAATTGGGAAGAACAGTTCAAATGGCACATTCCTTTCCATAGTATTAGAATACAAAGCATATGACCTTTGAAAAATTAGAAATGAATAGTTATTAACTTCTAAGTCCTACATAAAATCTATTTGGAAAATACCCATTTTTATCCAAAAGTACCTCAACCTCCATCATTTTCCCATTTATCTTACTTGATAAAGCATACCGTTAAAATTCACAAGCATCACCTAGAAAAGGAAACACAGCCTATAAGTACCTTATCAGGGATCATCTGTGTGGAACTGAGGAGCGAGAGAGAGAATTAAGGAGTTGGAATATATGGTTGTATTTGGACATGGCACTTAAGCAAAGTCTGTTGTAAGATGGACAGAAGGAAGGAAGGGAGGGGAAGGGAGGAAGGAGGGAGGGAAGGAGGGAGGGAGGGAAGGAAATGGAAGGAAGGAAGGAAGGAAGGAAGGAAGGAAGGAAGGAAGGAAGGAAGGAAGGAAGGATAATAGCATCCATTCTGGGTTGAGAGAAAGCAGAAAATCAGGCCCAAAAGTATCCCATCCTCCATATGTTCCCATTTATATCACTTGATGAAGCACACTGTTAAAATTCATAAACATTACCTGGGAAAGGAACAAGCAGGATTCTTATGTGTGGAAATGAGGAGCCAGAAAAAAGTATTAATGAGTGTTATACATGATTGTATTTTATCATCGTACTTAAAGAAATTTCATTGTAGGGTAGATGGATGCATGCATGTAATATATGAATGGTCGTATGACTAGAAGGCAGGAAAAATAACAGCATCCATTCTAGATATGAGAGATGGTAGAAAATTGGGCCCAAATCCCAAGGTAATACACAGCTTGTGCCAAGCTTGGTTCTGCAAGAGTTTCCATAATGAGATAAAGGCAGCAACAATCTACTGAATCTTCAGACTGAAAGGAGACCTGGAATTACAGCCTCATTCAGAGGGAAACAGGGAATCCAAGGAAGGTTCTAGGTGCTCATGAGATTTCTACATCTGAAGCTGAAATGAGGAAAAGACAACTATAAATTCAAAATGATCATAGAATTACACAATACCCCTTGCTCAGCTCCCTGTCATCTATCATATGAGCTGCCCATAACTGGCTTAGAAAGTCTTCATCACATTGAATAAAGCTGGAAGAAGAAAGAAACTTGGGAGGGTTTAGACTTTGTTTTCGCCCTTCTTAGGACTTCTTGTGTGAATCAGGATACTTCTCTGGATTCAATTAATGAATGAATTCCTTTTTCTTGTACTCTACAAATCACTTGCCCCTATGAGCCTTGGTTCTCTTACCTATAAAACTGGGATAATGTTGTAAGGTTATAATTCCTGCTCTCAGAGGGCTGAGGCAGGATAATCACATGATAAGGCCAGCCTTAGCTACACAGCAAGATCCTGTCTCAGAAAACAATGGTGATAAAAATCTATATAGAACTGTTCATGAAGACCATTAAAAATAATAGGTATGAGAAAATTTTGTAACTTCTTTGTTTTTACTGAATTTCGTTCATTTCATATAATACGTCTTCATCATATTTAGACCCTTTCTCCTATCTGAACCCCCATGTTATATACAAAATACTATTATTGAGAGATGATTATTTAAAGTAAGCTTGTATCAAATAAAGAGAAAAGAAGTAGAGCAAAGAATGCTCAGCGAACATTCACTAAATGGCCCTTGTACTAAAAAAGGCTCTACAGAGGTGAAGAAGATCAGTAACATGCAGTCTGTCTGTCCATCTGTCTGATGAAAGTAAGAGGTGTTGTCTTATGATGAGTAAAAACAACTTAGTGTGAAGACTACACATAGGAAAAAAGGTTATAGAATAAAAAGTTGCTATAGAAAGGTTGGAGTGGACCTTGAGGATGCATAGACTCTGATAATCAGATGGAAGAGAAGGGACAGTTCAGGAAGAAGAGAAACATGTAAAGAAATATAAGTGGATGTGTCTCAAGAACAATGAATTAGCCAGAGCACAGGAAAAGTAAAAGAAAGGCAGGAACGGTCAGTTTGGTAGTATTTCAGAGAATCTGAATGTTAAGGTGAAAGGGTACACTCTTTGCTGAAGAAAGGCATGCAGTGAAAATTTTTTTATATTAACGTTTTAGAAATTTTCATACATGAGTATTGTATATACATCATTTCCACTCACCCCAGTGGCCCTCCTAATCCTCCCACGAATCTCCCCAACTCCCTCACAATTTCTTGTTCTCTTCTTTGATTATTATTGTTAGATATTCAGGCATATGCTGGTAAATATACATATATAATGCCCCAAGTCCATTTAGTGGTACTTGTATGTACAGGGCTGCCTATCTGGAATTAGCCTACGAGGGAACTCGTCCCTGGAGAAAACTGACTCTCCCTCCCTCAGCATTTATTGACTGCCTGTAGCTCTTCATCTTGGAGTGGGATCCCATGAAATTCCCCCCATCCGTTTTGGCAGGTCAACTGGTTTTGTCACTGTGCAGATCTTGAGAGGCTATCATACTGTGGAGATTGCATGGGTGCCACTTCCCTGTCATGTATAGAATTCGTGAACTGGCAGCAGGTATCTTGACCCTCTAGTTCTTAGACTCTTTCCATCCCTGCTCCATGATGTTCCCTGAGCCTTAAGTGTAGAGTTTGCCTTGTAGATGTATCACTTAGGGCTGGATACTTCACAGTCACTTATTCTCTGCATTTGAACAGCTGTGGAACTTTGTAATACTCTCTATCTGTTTTAAAAAAGAAAGAGGCTTCTTTTGTGAGTGGTGAGAGCTATACTTGTCAAGACAGTGCATAAGAAGAGGAATCCAGGCCTCATCCTGGA